GCATGTAATAAGAAATGTTGCCTTCTCACATTACCACTAGTCATAGGGTAACTAGGACCTTGATTGAGGTGAGGCGAGAGCTAAACATGCCATGACCTTAATTTGTGTGTAGTAATCATCCCTACATTACCATATCTGAGGAAAAATGTCATTAGTTCCACATAAGCACATTTTTCGTTAGAATTAGTTTGGCAATATTAGGTAAATAGTAAAAATTCAGTTTCATGTTTCTGTAATGTAAATCATTTGATGAGGAATTCAAAATCCCACTACTCTAGTATACAGATAAAAATATATGAATAGAAAAATTCCTAAGGGTTTGCTTATTAGACAATCTAAATATCCAATATTCCATTTTACTGCATAAGAACTCACATTTTTATTGAAGAATATTCCTATATTCAAAAAATTAGTATATTTCCACTATTTATTAGATATATTAGAAAACTAATATTCATATACTTTATTTTATGATGTTTAGTTAGCATAAAACTATTATTAAGACTACCTTTATATGTATTAAAACTACATTTGTTCAGTTGAAGAGAATCCTGAGATGAAATATTCTATTTTCCCCAAACTTGGAGCTTATTTTTTCAAGATTGCAACAATAAAAAATTTAAATACAACATTTTTTAATACTTGGGATCATTATTATATCAAAAAAAGCAAGTATCCATGTACGGATAAAAGTGAATTTAAAAGAAACTAAAATTACAAGGAGGTTTTTTTTTCATAACTGAAATGTGGAAACTTTTTCATACAATTTATCAACTTTATACATTTTCTTTTGAAGTACAGATTAAGTATTTCTTATCTGGTAAATTGGGTAACTGTAGAATAGTGCTCATTTCTGATCTAGAAATTCATATGGTCACTTTTTTAAAAAAATCATAAAGCCAACCTCTCCTTCCCCCACCTTTACGCCCCTCACCTCCTTATTTAGAATTAAGGTGAAAGAAAAGTCTGTAATGTGTATTTCTGTGAGCTTAAACAGTGGGAAATTCTGATTCAGTGAGGCTTTTGTTGAGCAAGATCTATGTTCTTTGTTATTCTATTCATCTTCCTTCATTTTCTTAGGGGATGCAACTTAGTAAGTGGTTCATTCTGTATAGCAAAGTATTTCGAAACACTTGAGATTCATTCTAACTTATTATCTCATCCTAAATTTGACCTGAAAACTAGATTCTACATTGTCATACCCATCCACCCATAAAGTGTACTGTTTACTATTTCGTTAGTCATGGAAATTTCATATATCCTATTTCAGATATTGTAACTGGGTTCAAAGTTTGAATATTAGCAGTAATATCATTAAAATTGTGTTGCCCAAATTCTTATCTTAGCTCTGAGAGAAAATGGATTGACTTCTAATTTATCATAAGATATATATTAAGTTATGTATTAAACATCTCTCTCTAGGACTCCTTAATATCTATTAATTAAGGAAAATAAATTATTTCTACATTTAATAGAATTTTTCTGTTTAATGCTATTATTAAAATTGAAACAGCATTGTCTTCTAGAAGAAAATGAGTGTTAATGATTAAATTATTCCTCTAATTGTAAGCACTATAGATACTTTATTAGGATATCAAATTCATAATAGTAATGGGAAACACAATGAAGTTTTTTCTTTCACATCCAGAAGGCAGGAGAGGTAATTTGTGTACAGAATGACATATTTATTGACTCTTTGTCTGATGGGTTAAAATTATACATCTGGAGCAGGTACAAAAGATGATACTGAACAAATGTGCTTCCTGCAATGCTTTGTTTGTAAAACTAAACCATCGCTCCAGTGCCTCTCTGCCAGCTGCACTTTTACTTGCTGTGTCTTGTTGAGGCTTGTTTTAATGATACTTTGGGGCTTCCAGAACTTAATTTTATATGTTAATGTGACGTGCAGCCGTATATGTTATAGAGCTCCAGAGATGCCCTGAGTCAAAAATAACTTCTTTCTACTGCCCTCCATGCTCTTACTCTAGGTATAAAAATATTAACCATTCCTTACCAAGGAGGTATTCCCAAATCATTTTTTTTAGATAATCCAAAGTTTTACTTTCATTTTCATGTGAGCAATTTGCATAACATTTAAATATTCAAGAGGTTCATTAAGTGTGAAATACTTTTTGAGTATGCAGGTTTGAAAACTTAATTTTTTTGGAAGGTTAGAGAATAGAATATGGAAAGGATGCTTGTTTTCTAAAGTAAATCATAAAATATTCAGATACATTTTAGGTCTCTCAAGAGTTCCTCTAACAATGTTTTCTGTCAATATTACTTAAACAGCATAAATTTCATGATTACTTGACAAAACACTCTTTAGGACCTTGGTTTACTATAGTATCAGTATGTTCTTTCTGGAAACAAGTGCATTAAAGGTTGAAAGAAGAATATGATGTCTAGAAAACTTGTAATCAATGCATTAAAATAACTGTCAGTTTTATTAGACCAAAATATAACTTCAGTAATACTTTATGGGTTTTGTTTTTCATTTCAATGTAGTGAGGTTATTCCAAGAATTTTTTAAGGGCTCTTAAATGACAAATGCATCTAAAGGTGTTATAAATAAACTTTGAAAAGTCAACAAATTTGATTTTTTTATCCATGAATGCTATATGTATTACTTTGAGTTTACCCAAATCTAGTAGCTATATTTAACTAAAGATTTAGGACTCTTAAATAAGATAAAATAGAAAAAAATGTATTTTATGTATTTTATTCAAAATTAGCATATTATAGATTGAATTACTAATTTTATAGCATATATGTAATTACAGTTACACACTCTATCATGAAAAAAGTCAGGTTTAACTTTTATATCAATATATGCACAATGTGTGTAACATGCTAAAATATGTAATCGAGGAATAGTCTCCATTAGTACGTATATCTATTGGAAAGCACATTTACATCAACTAATAGTTTTTAAACATGTTTGTAACCAAAATACTTTTTTAGTCTGTCATTTTGGAAAACTGCAAGATGCAAAAATGAATGGAATTTCATTTTTGAGAAACTCTTATTTTGTTTTTAGGCCTTAGTAGTAAAATCACTTTCTTAAGAGTTCACTAATATAATTCTCTATTTACTCATTTGTTTTACTCTTTATCAATTGATCGTGTACCACAGTGAATCAGTATTCATCAATGTATTTTCTTTCCAAACACTTGTCATTATGTAGACATAATAGAAATATTCATTCATTCATTCATTCATCAAAACGAATATTGTATCATCTCTGGTCCAAATGCTAGGTCACTGCGGAAATTTATATTAATGTCAACTGTTGCCATTCAAGAAATTAGTAAGAAGAAAACAAAATATCTACTCAAATGTTAAGTTGAAGTAGTATGTTGGAAATTACACCATGAGAAGAATAAAAAAGATTACTAATGGGATCAAAGAGGAAAATGGTCCATTAATTTGGGGTGTGATGAGAACATAAAGAATGTAAAATTTGAACTGAAAAGTGATGATTAGAAATTGTTAGAAAGAACATTTTAGATTCAGTAAGTAGCAAATGGAGTCTTATGGAACCATCAGACATATCTTGGAGCCCTGAAGATAGTATTTAGCATACTTGAAGGTAACAGTTTTTAAACAAGATCTAGGAAATACACATTTGAGATAGATTTATAAATCTTTGCTCCAGCTTTGCAGGATGCATATTGAAAAAGAAAATAACATTCTTAATAGTTTGTCTATAATAATGTCTAGTGTAGTTTAAAGGAAAGCATTTACAGCACACATAGTTCTGAGATACTTTAATAAATTGAAAAATCATAAGGTTTAATTGAAGAAGTGATAGAGTTAATGAAAGGAATAGATGGGTGAGAAGATATCTATGCTATGTAATGCTTGTTGTCTGACAATAAATGTATTGTGACATACATAGGAATAAAACTGATTTTAGAGATCAAGAACATATCTATATTATTAATAAAAAGAGAAAGCGGCAGATGGAAACTGTATGCAAAGAGAAATAATCTATTTTTAATATCTTTTGACATAAAGACATAGTTCTCATAACTCTCAAACCAAAGGAATAGGAATCTTAACTAAATTCATGGAATTGAAGCAATTAGAGATGTCTATAGAAGTTACTAGAGAGGATCTATGGAAATATTCAGACATCTAAATAGAGAGAAACAAGGCCAAAATAAAGGAGCTGATAAGAATTTCAGTAAATCAGGAATAGTCAAATAAAACCCTTTGTATTTAAAGGTGAATGTATCATTAATGGATCTTTGAAGAATTATTTTTGTTTGCACAGTTCTTTTTAAGTAAAAGCAGACTTAAAAGACATTCATATTAGTAGCTGAGTTAATACAGAAGAGAATAGAATTGAGGGATTGCTTCCTGAGTGGCCCCTCAGGTTGCTTTGCAGATATGGTAAAATAGTTATTGATAGGTGCTGGAGTGATAGTACAGTGGTATGGCATTTGCCTTGCAAGCGGCCGACCTGAGTTAATTCTCCGGTATCTTGTATGGTCCCCCGGAGCTCCGCCAGGAGTGATTCCTGAGTGCAGAGCCAGGAGAAACCCCTGAGCATCGCTGGGTGTGGCCCCAAAACAAAAAAAAAAGTTTTTGCTATAAGTAAAAAACAGTTGAAAGCCAGTGCATCCAAGAAAAACTGAATAAAAGAAAAGAAAAAGAAAAAAATGATAAGGTAAGGGGCTACAAAGAAGTTTTTAAGATTGGAAAAAAATAAAAAGAAAAGGAACAGAACCAAATGGTGTCTGTTGTTTACAATAAAGTGAAGTTAAAAGATAGATTTGGATGGCTTCAGTCTATTCAGTGAAATATGATTATGCACTGAACATAAGGAATACTGGCTGGGGAAGTACAAATTCATCCAAAAGGAATATTGTTCCCATTTCATTCCACTAGTGTGAAAATCAGCTATGGTTTAAATCATTTCAATTACACTCATGCTCAGGAGCTTGATGTGATTCACCACTTTGATGTGGTTAATTGCTCTTACTCTGTTCCAGGCGGTGTGGTTACAGCAAAGCAAAACAAGATCCAGAAGAGGAAAAGATGCATTTCCATAATGGGCACAGTAAGCGAATTGTAAAACAATCAAAGTAAAAGAAAATTGGGATATTTTATTACTATTTTGGTTTCTTTTCAGGGCGTGGCATTTATACTAATGTACCAAAAATATTGTATTAAGAATATAAGTGCTTCCTTTTACTTTCCTATAAAAGTAGGGTTTGGTAAAACATCTGCTGTCCCTAGACAACATGTGGACGGTTTATTCAGTTGTTGAAAGCACACTTCACTATAATCATTAAATCAAAAACTTTCTTGCTATATGTAAAAAGCTGTTATATTCCAAACAAATTCCAGTACAATGATAATTCCTATCAAAAGCTCATAAATCTATTATTCAGATAGAACCACTGATACAACAAAATGCATCATTGTTTAAATTATTCTTTTAACATTGAATTGGAATTTCTCTGAAATTTCTGAAGCACCAGTCTTTGTTAAAATGACTTGTATAGACATTTAAGAAATGAAGAAAAACAAGTTATAATAATGAGTTTTAAAATTATCCTAAATGGGCTACAATTATAGTTTTTTATATTTTTATTTCTCCATAAATAGTGTGAGTTGATTTGCCAAGTTGCAAAAAAGCTTATTTTTCCTTGTTCTTGTCACTTTGCCATGACCATAGAGAAAATTATTAAAGCTATAATTCATGCTGCAAGGCATTAGTGCATTTTCATGGCTCTATCTTATTTCATGTTATTTATCCTCAAAAACACAATAAGAATTGATATCAGTAGGTAGCCTTTAAATGTGATTAACCCCGTTACCATAAAACATTAAAACTTAGACATGCAGTTTCATAGGCAAATTAAGTAGAAGTCTTTTTTCTTTTGCCCTGTATGTCAATCTTATCAGAACAATGAACTGTAAGTTAGTTTAAATGATTTTCTATAAAACCAAATTTCATCACCTGTGGTACTATTTTAAGTAAACATAATAAAAAAACAACAAATAACTAATATAAAATTCTACTTCGATAAATAAAATGTCTTAGTTTGTTTAAGAGACTCTTTGAAAATTACATTAAAGGTCATATTTATTTAACACATGTACATTTACTGTCTATATATATATATCCATTTCTAAAATTATTAAAGCAATATACTACAAATTATTCTGATAAAACAGAGGGGATCTGTTTTCCCAGTTTAGACACTTACAAAAAACATGGGATTTAAATCATAAATTGAATTTTACCGAAGGTTTATAATTTCCCTCACAGCTTGCCAATACTTTTATTTTAATGACTGTTTATTTTTGCAGTTAAACTTCCAGGAGTAAGAACTTATATTGATCCACATACTTATGAGGATCCTAATCAGGCTGTCCATGAATTTGCCAAGGAAATAGAAGCTTCATGCATCACGATTGAAAGAGTAATTGGAGCAGGTATGACAGTGTATTTAACTAAGGACTTTTACCTTGTACTTGTATCACATAATATAACATTTCAATGTCATGACTTAACATGAGATGTTTTTAACTTTTTGTAATCGAATAACTTTAAAAGTAGTATATAATTGATCAAATTTTAGTACTAATATCTCTGCACATACACTTAAACCAGCAAATGTTTGATATATGATAGGAAGTAAAGTTGCAATATGAAATATAAATACATACAATATGTATGTGTGTATTCAACACAGCGTTTCATCAATAACATATTATCTACATATAATTTTGATGTCCAGAAGTATTTACATAATTAAAACACCCAGTGATTATATTTATGATTCATTTCCTCCTTAAAATCTTTTATCTCATTATGATCCTTACTCCTTTCCTCTCTTCTTAATGCATACCTAAATGGTAAGAGAAGAAAAAAGTGGCTTTACACTTCCGTTAGATTTTTTTAAATGAGATGAATGATACCCTCATAATAACCCTCACAGTGCCATATGATCACCTGCAGAAAATTTTTCCCCGTGCACTGTTATTTCCATTACCGTAGAAAATTGGACTCCTCTTTTTAATTATTTTATCTAAATACTAATTATTATAAGTGTGCCTTGGAGTATTACTGAGGTAATAATTTTGAATGCATTTTTGTATTTTCTTGATATCTTTATCACAAGGTGAATTTGGTGAAGTCTGCAGTGGACGCTTAAAACTTGCAGGAAAAAGAGAATTACCTGTGGCTATCAAAACTCTTAAAGTAGGCTATACTGAAAAGCAACGCAGAGATTTCCTAGGGGAAGCAAGTATTATGGGGCAGTTTGATCATCCTAACATTATTCATTTAGAAGGTGTTGTGACCAAAAGTAAGTACAATGACAGATTGTGTTTGTTTATATTTGTGTGTGTTGTGTGTCTATGAATTGAATATATGAACCTCTAAGGAGTTACTAAGGGCTCTAAGGAGTTACTAAGGGCTGGAGCGATAGCACAGCGGTAGGGCGTTCGCCTTACAAGCGGCCAACATGGCCGACCCGAGTTCGATTCCTCCACCCCTCTCGGAGAGGCCGGCAAGCTACCGAGCGTATTCGATATGCCAAACACAGTAACAACAAAGTCTCCAATGGAGACGTTACTGGGCCCGCTCGAGCAAATCGACGATCAACGGGAGGGCCTTTACCTTTTACCTTTAAGGAGTTACTCATTGTTCAATAAATTCTAACTCACTAGTGTTATTAAAATTATTCTAATGTTAATAATAGTTTTCCTGAATTGTATTAGATTTTTTTCAAAGTTGATTTTCAGTATGCCTGAATTTGTTTTTTTAAAACACATATATTAACCATTTACTGTTAATTCATTATCAGGAAATGTACTCATATAAGAGAAGCAGTAAAAGCATCAATATTTTCCTTCTGGTTTTATTACTTTTTACCCTAATGAAATATTAACTTCAAAGTTTTCATTGCAGCATTGAAGTTTTACGTTTAATAACATTCCTATTACCATAGGTGTTCTGCAGCCTATTAAGTGTTTTTTAATAGCCAGATGTATGTCTATCTTTTTTTTGTTCCACTAAAGTATTTTAATAGTGCTAGGGAAAACAGCATCCTGAGAATATTGGAAAGGTTCTGTGGGTCCAAATATTCTGTTAGAATAGGTCTAATTTTTTACACAGAAATGTCCATAAATTCTCATCTTTTAAACTTTGTGTTGGAAATTGTGGACTTCCTAAAGTAAGAACATTAAATCATACCTAAATCATCCATTAAGGTATGTTTCCCATAAAAGAGGCTTTTTGTTCTTTGAATCTGTTCTTTCTTTGTTATTCCCATAAAATCTCCTTCCACATCCTTAATCCTAAAATACCCTGTATTACACTTTCTATAATTATCCATAAACTTTGGCAAGATCGTTTTATAAGTCACTTTTTAATTTCCATTTTTTATTAATCAAAATTTAAGGATATATGCCAAATCCATATCCATTTGTGTGGTCTCTAGATTTCAAACTATGAAATAACTGATTGTCAACTTATATCAGTTTTCTTTTAAATATACAGAACAAATCAACTCAGCAACAATAATAAAATTATGATTTTAGAGGCAGAGTCAGCTAAAAGGTTTGAATTTCCAGAATCACATAGTTCCCAAGTCCCACCTTCCCAGGTCAGCAGCCCTCAAGACAGAAAGGAGCCCTGCTCGCTACACTATTTCTTGGACCCCACTTAGTTATCTTAACATACCTGATATTTTTTCTCTTATCCACATTGCTTTATTACCCACTAAAAAGTGCATTCTCACGTTCAATACTTTTTCATGTCTTTCAAAAACCTACTCAAATTCCATCAACCCCACTAAATTATCTCCTATCACTTTGTCCTGTAACAATACCTTCTTTTGAACAGTGAACCGGAATTTTGAAACTGTAAAGTTCATTTATTTGCCCAAAATGCTTATTCAAAAAATTTAAATTTATTTGCTTATAAAAGTAAACTCCTCGAACATATAAATACCATCCCCTAAATATTTATTTAAACATGTAGCTCCAAAATATGGGTCAAGTTTTGCTCATCTCACTTACATTGAATCTTAATATCATGAGAAAGGAAAAACAATATACCTGTCTTATAGGACTGCTACTATGAATTTATTGAAATATATTTGAAAAATTGACAACTATTATAATAGCATTTAGTTTGACCTCTTCAATTGACTATCAGATACTAGGGAACAACAACCAAAATCATGAATGTTAATTCACCTATATTTATGGACTCCTGATTTATAATAGAACTTATTTTATATTTTTTTGTTACTGTGTCTATATATAGGGCTGGAGCGATAGCACAGCAGGTAGGGCGTTCGCCTTACACGCGGCCAACATGGCCAACCCGAGTTCGATTCCTCCGCCCCTCTCGGAGAGCCCGGCAAGCTACCGAGAGTATTCGATATGCCAGACACAGTAACAACAAAGTCTCCAATGGAGACGTTACTGGGCCCGCTCGAGCAAATCGACGATCAACGGGAGGGCCTTTACCTTTGCCTTTACCTTTTATTTTATATGACTGAGTTATGGCTAAGAGAAAGATAACAAAACCTCCTAGAAGATAAATTTATAATATACTTTATTTATTTATCTTTAGAAGCAAATATTATTATCAGTAAATGATCTTATATAAATTTTAGTCTAAAAAGTAACAGTGATTGGGAACACAGGTTTTAAATTTTCATTCTCCTTTCTAACCAAATATTTTATTTAATGTGGCTGCCACAAATCTGCAAATGTACATAAAACAAAATGCAAATACTTAAAATACTTCTTTGTCTTATGTTTTTGCTCAGTGAGAATTGAAACCGTTTCCCCTTAATAAATATAGCTCTTGATGTTCAACTTAGGAAATCTTCATCTTGTTTTTAATTTACCATGTTGCAACTCACTTTATTTGTGTCCTTAATTTCATGCTCTCTGATCTGATGATAATTTATTCAGCAATTATTCTCAACCTGCAGCACACAGATAATGAGACATAAGTGCATCTAAATCTTAGGATTTTCTGATTGAAGCTGATGCAAGGAGTCTGAAGTAGCACTTCTATGGACGGTGGCACCATGTACTTTTCATCTTTCCTGTATCACTGCCCCACATGGCAAAAACATGGACCCAAATTCAGATTCCTTCTGTGACTTTTGTGAGCAGGACACACTACAAATATATATATATATATATATATATATATATATATATATATACATATATTCTAGAGATGCTTTTATGACAAATGGTGTGAAAAACCCACAGGTCCCGGCCTAATCGATGCATTGCCCATATAAGATACTTTTATGTAATACAGACAGTGCCAGTTTTATTTTCTTCCTCTCAAGAAGAATATGTCAGTTTGACAAAACTAATACATCTATGACCTTTGAATAATGTTTAGGATATATTTCTTAATGGACACTCCTCTCCAAATAAATTTAACTTTTATGTAAAATTAATAAATTTAAGTATCTATTTGTGGAATATTATATCTGAAAACATGGCGCATCCAATGAAAGTCAATTATTTAAATCATCAAGTTCTGATTTTATATAAATATGTAATAATATTCCAAATTATTTAGCATTCCATATTATTTCATTTTATAACATTCTACTTTGTTCTCCAGCACTTCATATAATTTCATATTATTTCATAAAATGACTTTTTTATAGCCCCTTATTATATTCTATTAAAATCTGTTCTAAAATTCTATTGGAATATCCCACTCTTTTTATACTCACCCTTTCCTCACATGCATCCTCTCTGTACATGTCCTTAGGTATATTTTACTAAATCACTGCTTTTGTCTCATGCTTCAGCATCAAACAAGAAAACAAGCTGAGCAGATTGTATATATTTGAATATTTATCTGATTCTAAGTTGGGAACATCTCATATTTCGCTATTTTATTCTAGAAATCTTTATCAAATTCTTATTCTGACTCTCTTGAGGTATTGCATTCAACCTTAAAATGTCCTTTCTGTTTCCTAAATTCTACTTAACCTTCACATTTAAGTCAGATATGACCTTCTCCTTGATCAATGTGATTAATCTTCATTTCACTTCTGTCTTCAGGATTTGATTGTCATAGTATAGGCACTTATGTTTGAAAAACTGGGTAAATAAAATCTTCCTATTGTACTGCAATAGGAAACCAGACTTCATTAAGGGGTAGTTCTTGTTTCACCTACTTTGGTTGTTCCTATATCACTGTTTAATACTTATATTTCATTTGCTTATTGCATGAATTCTCAATGATCATTTTTAAAACCTTACTTGCATTTCCTATATTTTATTATTCTGTATGTTGCAACTATATGTTTAAAATACTTATCATCCTCCCAATACTGTAACATCCTCAAACTGTCATGTTATAACCTCTCTGGTGTCCAGGATTATTTCAATGAAAAGAATAAAAGGAGATATAAAATATCTTAACATAAATATAGAGTAGGAGGGGCAAGTATATTTTGCATTAATACTTTCATATGATTCACATTAATGTGAATTTCTTGATTATATTACTTGATTATATGGGATATTCATTTTCATTTTTTAGAAAATTTCTATGCCAATTTCTATATTGGCTGTAACAGTTTGTATTTCTGCCAACTGTGTTTCAAAGTTCTATTTTTCTCCACACCAACGGCAACACATTTTTCCAATTTCTTTTATATAGACTATCTAGATTTTGACTTTATTTTCCGTAATAATGATGATGATGAACAATTTTCACGCATCTGTATGCTCTCCCTTCTTTGGAGAGTGTGTACTTGTATCCTCCTTTTTAAAATTTAGATGTAGGGTATGGCTGTTGTTGTTGTTTTCTGTTAAGTTGTCTGATATATATATGCACAGATAAAGAGGGTGTGAGAATAGGTATGACTATAATTTTGATAACGAGATAAGTGACGCTAACTTTTTTTGTGGTTGCCGCAAATCTCATGAACATATAGACACTGTTCTCTGAAATTTTATAGTGTTGTAAATGAATGATAAATGAATTTTAAAATAAGAGTCAGTAGGAATATAGAGTATAATAACTCACTAGTTTATATAAAAGGCTTTTTGGGGGTCTGAGATTTGAAGATTTTAAAGTCAGCATATGATGGGATCTATGTATAAATGAGCATTTAAGCTGCTGTGCTGAGTATGGGAAGTACAAAGAAATGTTAAATAGGGAAACTGAGAAAGTTGCTGATATTATTTATATCTATTAAATTGGTTATATCTGTGCTAACAAGATAGACAGCGGTGACAAGATTCTGTGAATATTTGGAAGCAATCCATAGGAATCATACTTGTGAATTAGGTGTGGAAAACA